CATATACGCAAACACTGTTAGTTCTTCATTCATCGGCATAATTTCTTGTCTTCTTCGATTTTTACATTTTTTGTTTTCACCCTGCGGCTCATATGGAAATCAAAACCGGACTGCTTCGTACCTTTGTTGACGTTTAAATAGCTGCTTTGCTCTCGTTTTTCCTGCCCGCAGGCATTTACTGTCCGACTGTCAGCTTGTCAGTTAGTTGGTTTTGTCGGCCTACTGAGTCAGTAGTGAGTCGGTAATCGTTGTGTTGTCGCTCACAATCGTATATCCTTAGTGTCTACATTGGTACTATCCTGTCTAACTGTTTTTAATCTGCTTTGTTTTCTCAACCGCTGTGCATCGCTGCCTTTTGACTCAAAAAGTGACTACCCGCCTCATTTGCCTATGGATTTTTTATCCATTTTCATTTTCTCAATTTAATTTGTATACCCCGAACAGGGAATATATTTATATTACGTTGGCTATGCAGTTTGTTACACCCAGAAAAATGATCAGCATGACGAGTTAAGTCAATTTAGCCAGGTCCGTTGATCTGTATAGTCCCTCAGTTTTTTAGATTTCGCTCTGAATTTTTTGTACACACCTTTTTTCTTCGAAGAAGCAGCTTATTTGTCGGAACCGCAGATATCGGACCACTATAGCATGTAACTGCCATACAAACTGATCGATAAAAATCAAGCCCTTGTATGGAAAATCGATCAGGTTTTATGCAGTGGTATTTAACGAGATATCTTGACAAAATTATTCCCGAGTTATTGTTCAAGGCAGCGGTGCAATCTCTGAAGAAATTTATTACATCGGGTCACTATAGCATATAGCTGCATTACAAACTGATCGATCAAACTCAAGTCCTTGTATGGAAATTTGGCATAGCGTAGTGTCCAACACTCGAACAAATTTTCCTGATCGCACCACTATATAATAAATCTACCTTTCAAAGTAAACGGTCGGACGACGACTCGGCACAGACTTTTTTAAGGCAATGCTACCATACAATCTCCGAACAGGTCAGATCGGACCAGGAACATATGAACTAAATTAAGTCTCTGTGTCGACACATTTTCATTTGTGAAGGGTATTGTAGGTTCGGTGCAACCGAAGTTAACGGTTGTTTTGTTTTGCATGCGTTTGTGTGGCCAATGCACGAGTCTACATATGTATGATTCATCCAAATCAGTCAGTCACAGCCAGTCACCAGGTTTGGCCTGGCGTGTGCCTTCGCCACTGTCTACCGCTCATAACGGCACTATATACTATATCACAGCTTTTAGTTTTGTTGCTTGTGTCGGTACACTTACACACACATACATGGATATTTCCTTATACCCGTACTTGTATGCGTAAGTTAATGTTTGCATGCGGTTATATTGTTGGCGCCACTCTTGTAATTTTTTCTGCTCCTTTATTCGCAGGTATTAATAGCCGGTGTTTGTTGTTGGCGTTTTCAGTGTCGTAAATTATCTACAAAAGCGTCCTGTACTGTTTGCGTTTTTTTTTTGCAAACTGTTTACTTACATTACCAGCTCTACTAGATAGCTAATTGAGAATCGATGCGCTGAGCAATCAATGAAAAACTTAAAGCTATAGAGGGTGTGCTGATTCCTCGGTAAATTCAGTGCAGAATATAAAATTATTGTTTTTTTTTTGTGCTTTATAAGAATCTGTACGTGTTTTTTGGTGTAAGTTATGAGTTTCGAGTTCTGAAATGACCGATTTAAATGAGCCCTTTAACTGATTATATAGTCACTATATAATACCTCCTTCTTAAATGTCCCGCCGGATCAAGGGCAAAATACCTCAGATCTCATCGATATTTAGCTAAATTAGCGGAAATAAAAATAAAGTATTTAATCAGATTTGTCATGAATTCAAAGCGCTTTGTCAATAGCTGATGTCTAACTTCAGAAGTTTTTATCCGGATTCACGAAACGTTTGTAAGGTCTCTCTCGTAAACTTGAGAAGAATCATAACTTTTTTCACTATTTTGAAATAGATCTCATAAAATCAGTAAACAAACTAAATAATTGAACGTATAATTAGGTAGGCTTTCACAGAATTTACACTTGAATGCAAAGTTTTTGGTGTCAAAGTCAATATGAGTTCAAAATTATAGGTGGTTAATATTATATAAATTTAGTATGTTACATAAATTATTATAAACTGGATATTATCGATAGAATTCCATAAAAGAAGTAAATTGTTTATAAGCGAAAGCTTTTCGGATTTGTTCCAATGCGAGATCGAGAAGGTTAGTTATGTGTAAACCTATCGCATACATTCTGTAAAAATACATCTGTTATATCAATGAATACTAAATTTATCCACAACAACTGAGCTTTTACCATACTTACACTTGTTTTATAAGAAAGTTGGTAAATAATATATATTTTTAGTATGTTTCATAAATTCTTATAATCTGGATATTATCGGTAGAATACTCTGAAAAATGTTTACTTTCTGTAAGCGAAAGCTTTTAGACTAAAACCTTTGCTGCAGTGGGAAATCAAGAAGGTTAGTTATTAATAAATCTTTTAGTATACTCACTCTGTACATATGTCTCTACCTGTAACATCAATAAATAATAAATTTCACCAAAACGAATGAGCTTTTATTGAACTTTCACTTAAATAAAAAGCTTTTGTTGTTAAACTTTGCTTCAATATGATTCAGATTCAGATTTGATATTGCGAAATTCTTTCAAAACTTTTAAAAACGAAAGCTTTTGGGCATAAAACCTTTGTTCCAATAAGAAATCGAAAAAATTAGTTTTTTATATATCTTTCAAGTATACTATATAATATACAAGTATAACAGATAAAATAATCAACCAACCAAAAAACTTACTGTGTTTTTGACTAAATAAAATTTTTTTACTATTAGTATTTGACTTTCTAAATTCCGCATAAGCTATGGGTGGTACTTTACTATTAACGTTCACTACTCCATCGTTCATTTCCTATAGCACATATACTTACTTTACATACTTTTCAATTCATTCACTTTCGGCGTCTTTTTTTTTTTTGTGCATTTTCAATACTTTTCATTTTTTGTTTTATTGTATGAATTTATTCGTGTCCTTTGAATGGGCGACAATGCAGAACGGTTAGTATGACTTTGACAAACATAAAACGGGTGCAAAGCGCTTAGATCGTTTGCAGTAAAAAGCTGTGCCTCCTTACATCGAACTTAACCGCAGCCTGTCTTTGACGAACGGAGCTATGACTAATCCAATTTTAGTTGTTGTTTAGCTGAAATTTTCACAAACAGTTTGGGATACGACTAAGCGATGATTAAAGAGCAGTAGCAAAATGGTCTGCTTTAGCTAAAATGAGAAAAGAGAGACTTTGTAAGAGATGGAGAGAGACTGGGTGAGGTGGTTGAGTCTGTGCCTGAGTGTACGTTAGTGGGTGGTATGAATTCGAAAGCAATCAATTTCGAAAAGTATTCGAAGAAAGGTTTGGGTGAAGAATTCAGGTATTAGAGTATATGGAAGTATTGCCAGTGGTAAAAAATGTGCAATATTGAGAAAGTGCTTGAACTTTTGCTTGTCGAATAATAAATCTTAGTTTTGTGTGACTAAGTTTAGAGCGATTATCTTACGAGTATATGACGGTGGTACAAAATGATGATTCTTGGTAACTTAATTTTTTTTATTAGTTTTTAACTGTATTTATTTTTTATTGCAATACATCAGTGTTTCTCGATTAATATGTTTTGAAAAATAATTTTTCTTTTTTTGTAGGCTTTTTCGGTTTTTATAACTACTTTTCGGAATATTATATCTGAAAACTCAAAACTTTTTTTATATTTTAACTTCTAAGTATTGATTTTTTAAATATTTAGCAAAACTATCATAAAACAAATTTTAATTAAATTAAAGAAAAATAAAAATAAAAATTAAAAAAAAAATAAAAAAATTAAAAAAAAATATAAAATAAAAATTAGAATCAAAAAAAAATATTTAAAATAAAATAATAATTAAAAAAAAAGCAAAATGTAAAAAAAAGTTTAAGATTAAGAAAGAAAAATTAATTTAAAAAATAACTAAATAAAGTTAAATAACATAATTAAAAAAGAATATTGATTAAAAAAAAATAATAATATTAAAAGAAATAAAATAAAATTTAAAAAATTTAAAATGGAATAACAAAATAAAATAGAAATTAATTATAAAATAAATAAGAGATAAAAAACAAACAAAGATTAAAAGAATTTTATGAAAATTAACAATTGTTAAGTGTTAAAAAAATAGTATATCGAAATAATAATTATATTAATAATAAACTATCATTTAAAAAAATTGTAACATAAAACCCTTGGTCTACTGATGTCTTTGACTCTACATTGGAACGTTTCAATTAACCCCAATTGCTCTACTTTGATTTCGGCTTCTAGTTATAGTAGCTAATTTACGAAACATTTTTACCCTATTAAAAATTTTTCAAAAACTAGAAATTACAAATAAGGTTTCTTAATATACACTTGCATAGTTATATTAAAATAACCTTAAAAAAAATTTATAATCCCAACCTGAAACCGGCTTTTGAATGGCCAAAACAAAAATTCACTTGCATAACTAATGCAATATTTGCATGAAACCCAAAACCGCTATTAACTACGCAAGTATATAAAAAATCTAAAGAGTACACGAAGGAACTGGCCAAAACCACCACCAATTCCATTCGAAGACTGCAGTGCGCATGCTGCTCGTTAAATGTTTCGCAGTTGAATTCGAACGCGATGCGCCCAATATATGAGTGAGCACAGCCAGTAAACCTCCCCCTAAAGGAATTTTCCAAAGCAAGAAAACACGCAAGTGTTTGCACGTTTTTCGAGCGTTAGTTGGTCGTGCTGTGAGTGAAATAGTGCATTTTGGAGGAGAAAAACAAAAAAAAAAATTAATATTAAAAAGTTAGAATCTGGTTTAAGATTATTTTTCTTAGTAATTTAATAATTCATAATTTATATTATTGTAGTTGTGCTGCTTTTAGTTTAGTGCGCGTGTTGCTTTCTGACTCGTTTGTGCCGTTTAACAATTAATACGAGTTTTCAATATTTATTGCGCCAGCGAGATCGCATGCTTCCTAGTTGCTTTTGTTGTTGTTGTTCGCATTACAAACGTTTACTCGGGTGTGAGGTGCCGTAACGTGCTTGTTGTTTTTATTCTCAGTGTTGGTGGTGGCGTGCGGCCTGAACCCCTTGTGTGAGTGTCCTTGCAGCGGCGCCAATACAGTAATCACAACAACAACAATAAAAGCGATAACAACAAAAATAGCGCTGATTTTCGAAAAACTTGTCAAGCAGGCAGTGGAGTGAGCCACGCAGCAAATATAACTCGAAAATATCTTCGAATACGCGAATATCGTCCTGAGTGCTGGCTGGCGTCTCTTTGTCAGTTATCCTGCTGCCTTCTGCCTAACGTTGCTGGTGTATCCATTCAAAGTGCGGCATATTTGCCATTCAGTTTGTCTTTGTCGTTCGTTGCGGTCGTTACGTTACGTTAAAACGTTGAAGGAATCGGCTAACAAATAAGCCAAACACATTAGAGCAAAAAAGTATACATACATACATATAAAAAATATATAGAAATCGCACTTAAACGCCGGACGGTGTTATTGGTATAAAAAATTGTAGAAATCCCAAAAAGTCTTATAGAAAAGTACCGTTAGCCAGTTGTGCTGTAAAAATATATAATTTGATTGAGCACTGACATAAATAACGACGAAGACAAAGTGCCGCGTAGCGCAAGGAAACAAAAAAATAAATAAATAATAACAAATAAAAAATCTCGAAAGACTGTTTTTCAAAACGCAAAGCACGCCGTCGAACACTTTTGTGACAGTTTTTTGTAATTTTTACGCAAAAAGAAAACATATTCAACCAACCATCAAAATAAAGTTTAACAATTGAAGCAAATACTTGTGACCGGATAATATTTCTACAGTCTGCGTAGATATTTTTCCAAAAATTAGTCAAAGTGTTTGTGTATTTGTTTGCTTGCAGTGTACTTTCTGTCGTTTGAGGAATTCTTGCAGAAGTGTAAATAATTAAAATATTTTAGAAAATTCTAGCGGAAATAACTTGAAAGTTTTACAAACATATCTTTAAAATAAATAAATATTATAATAAATAGAAGAAAAAAAACAAAAATTAAAAAAAAAAATAATTAAAAATAAATAAAAGCTCGTCGCCACCTAACCATTCAACAAAATCTTCACTCACACAAGTGTGCTCTCTAATCCAATTAACCCCAACCACTGCGTATCTGTGCATTTGTGTGCGTGTCTTTGACCAACGGAGAAAAATATCGCCACTCACAAACAACCGATCAACTATCAACCGACAGTCAACAGTAGTGTCAACGCGTTTGTATTACTATTAGTTTCACTTCTAATAAATCCTCCGGCAGGCAGCTACTACCTAAGCACACACACACACAGCCACAGCGCCCAACTTTCTTTCCAAACAAACAGCGTTCAATCTCGCCGCCAGCGTGGTGTTGCAAATCAATCCAAGAGTCACGTTTAAAATCAATAAATTTCTTTGTTTACTTAGTCGCTTAGTCGTCGCTAGTCACCGTTAGTCAGTGCAATCGTCATCATGTTGATTGGATTAGTACGCGATTCGGTAATGCAGTGCTTCTGCCATACATGCCGGGCTCCCATTTTGCCAGCTGGTAAGCAAAAATAAATGAAATGCTCTCATTGTTTATTGTAAATGTTTCTTATGCAAAAACCATTCGCTGAACGTTTGTGTAACTATTGTAGGTTATTCCTTTCGGAAATTTCTTATTTTTATTTTTCTGCTGAAACAATATATTTTTGATATATTGTATGTTAAAAAGTTAAATTCTAACAATATTTCAGTTAAAATTAGTAATCTGACAGTTTTACAAAATTAGTAATTAGTCATCTATCAGTTGTCACTATGTAGTTGGCTTTCCATTTACATCTATGAAAGCTAGTTTCTGTCTCAGGCTCAGGCACAAATACATCATAGTTTATTTAATAAGATAATAGAAGATAGAAATATTTTATTTTTGTACTAAATTAATGTTTTGTGATATAAAAAATTGGAAAAAAACTGATTTACTGACTACATAAATATTAATTTTATTGGAAATAAAAAATTTCAATATACTTGTATACATTAGATATAATGAGGGTAACATATATATCATACATTAGAGCTGCAAAACAATCGATGGGACTATCGGTAGTATCGATAGTTTTATTTTCGTCTCACTACCGATAGTTTATTTTGACTAATTAGATTTACCAACAATTTTCATAAAATTTCAAAATTTCACATAATAGAGCTACATTGTCTGGTAATTTCACATGTGAAGTCTAATTTTTGATAACATGGTAATCTCAAATACAATAATTGTAAAGAAATACTCCTCCATTTATTTAGTATTAATGATTTTGGAGAACAAAGTTATAAAATTGAAACATACAGTCTGTTATGATTGAATTCCACAATATATGTATTGCCTACAGTGCATATGAACTAATATCATTTTAATTAATTTTTGATTTTTTCGTTATTGTTTATGTTTTGTTTTGTAAATACATCCCAAGACTATTTCACAAAAATTAAGTGTACAAAGCCAAGGCCTCTTAATTTAAACCAGCGAAACGAAGTAGATTTTATGCGAAAAACTATCGATAGTATCTTTTTAAATAATCGAAACTATCGAGTGGTGCGACTATCGATACTTTTGCAGCTCTAAAATGCATACCATTACCAGAAAGCGCAAGATCTGGGCTATAAAACAGGTGAAGCAATAACTTCACAGCCGCAATTTTTAACCGAAATTGCAACATGAGGCAACGTGTCTAGTCGCAAATTTCTGACGTTTATCGATAATCGCTCGCTTCTATTTAATGAGTCGGTAATACTCGTATTCCCTATTAATGATTTCATCCGGTTTAAGAAATACAGAGCATCATATTGGCGTCATGGATAACCGAATTTTGCCATTGAGTCGGCTGATTGGCAGGTTTCACATATGATTTTTTAGCGTTTATGGCTGTTGTAGTGGATCCATTTTTTAGCACCAATCACAATCAAATGCAAAAATTACTTTCTTTTTTTTTTTTTTTGTAATTTCTGATATGTAAAATCGTCCTTCTTTGTCTCTTGGCTTCAAATTATATGATTTTCTTGCTTTTTAAATGCATTAAATAGCTCCGCGGGTGATTCCCAAAGATTTTGCGAGCTGCTCTTGCATTTGCCAACAATCTCGAGTCTCCTACTTTGAGTTCCTTATCTTCAAACTTTTTTTGCCGCCCAGAACTTTCTTCATCTTTCAAGAACAGAAAATCAACACTTTTAAATCATGTAAATCAAATTTGGCACGCTTGTTCAGATAGATCGAGTTTGGTGAAAATTCCATAAACTTCCCCTAAAAGACGATGTTTGATTTTCAGCTGAGGTTTTCTTCATATTAAAGTATAAAAGAAGAAGAACTTCATTTTAATCAGTTAATTGGTAAATGAAGTAAGTTTTCAAAAAGTGGCATTTTGAAACGAGGACCATATTCTTCCTCTAATTTTTTCCGTGATTTCTAAATACCAAAGAGGTAACTACTTATCAATCTACGATCTGTTTTACGAATTGCTCTGCCTTTGAATGCCGTCGATTGTTGTATTTCATGTTCCCTACGTACTACAAGTGGTTAATTTCTCAAATAATACCTTGTAAGGAAATATATAATAATATCAACATTTTTTTAAACTAAATTTCGGATCTTCCTTCTGGTATGAGATTTACTATGCTTTTACAGCTTTAGTTTTGAGCTTGACTTTATATTTTAATAGAATAGAAATACTCTTCTATTCAAAATATTGATAACCGATTTTCCATAAATATTTATTTAGAGCTTAAAATCTGATTTAAGGACTCTTTTTGCAGAACTGGACCCATTTTCTAACGTGTTTTTTTTTTATTCCACATAGCTCTTTTAAGCCTTAGGTTCACACAGAATGGCTTCCAAACTAATTATATACCGCTTAAAGTTTTAAGTTATTTGTCTTTATAATTTCCAACCTTCACGAGTAAAATTTTTTGTATGTCATACATATTTTTTTTTCGTTATTTTATTCTATTTAGTATTTTTTCTACGTATATAATAATTTTAATAATAATTGCACGAAGGTCTAAGATACAAAATAAATACATGCACATTATAATAAAATTAAAATAATCATAATGAGAAAAGAACAAAAGCCCCGAAAGTCAGAATCGGCACCGCACGCGATAATACCTACGCGTAAACAACAAAAACAATAGTCATGAAAACAAAAAATATTTTAAATAGAAAACACACATACACACCCGCCAAATGACTTGATATTCAAGATACGAGTGGAGGATAGTAAACTCAGAATGAGCATGTAAGATGAAGGGAATTGCGTGGTGTAGTAGGCGACGACCGGCTCAGCGCCAACAAATAGGCTATATAAAATTTATATTTGTTCGTGTAGCAATGCCGACAGCTATGTACAGACATGTGGCGCCAAGGCGATATATACCGATGACTCATAGTCCGCTAAAGCGTTTATATTATTGGTGATGTCGGCTAACTCGATGACTTTTTGTTGCCGCTATTGTCGGTCATGGGAGTTAAAGATTATAGAATAACTGGAAAAATATAATTGAATGATAAAAGTGGTAGGCCGAATATATAACAATTTTGATAAATGGGCTTAAAGCAGAAGTATGCCGAAAGAAGGAATTATAAAAAGTATAAGAATAGTAGTAGAAGAAGATATATTAAAAATGCAAGGTTAAGAAAAAAATTTAAAAGTGGTATAAATGTTCATTTCTTAAATAAAAATGTATGTTTCGAAACATTTAACACAAAAATCAAATTCAAGTGTATAAAACCGAAACCGACTTCTTTAAATAATATATTATAAAAAAAATTATACAAATTATATAACCCTTGCTAGTGGCAGCCACACGTGTGCTGACGTAATACCATTTGCAGCACGACCGTGAAAAGGTCACTTTTAGGCACATTCATATAAGCGTCTTATGTTTTGTTTCTATAGAATGTGGAATTACTGCAATAAAAATTCGTTTAGCTTTGCCGTAAAGGCACGGAAGAGTAAAACTGAGTGCGAGTTGCTACCAAAAATTTAATGTAATTTGTGAGTATTATACCATTTTTTGACGAAAGCACTTAGTTTTTGATGAAAGAGAAAATGAACAACGAAAATCACTTACGGTAACATATTGCCAAAGGGTAAAGTACGGTGGGTTGGAATAGAAAAGTACAAATTTTTTTTTTGTATAAGTTTTAAAACCAAAAATTATTAGAACAAAAAAAAAATCGGCATATGGAATTCAATATAGCAATAAAAAATCAACACGTTTTTATGGGGTTTTACAGTATGGACTGAAATATGTACGACTTTTTTCAACAAGCCACCAATTTAAAGAGTTATGTTTTTTATAAGGGTTTAAAAAAAAATAAAAATAAAATATTCGGGTAAAATATTTTGTGTTAAGTGAAGCTTACACTAATTTTAATATTTGTAGCTTTAAATTCCGTAACTAAAATATATTCACAACTCTTAAGTCAGAATGAATTTTTATATAAATAATAATTGAATCATTTTTTTAATGCAGTATTGCATTATTTGCAATCTCTCTATGCCTTTCATATCACTAAATTTATGGGTTTTGTAAGAAATAAAACACACAATTAAAAAAATTAATCCACATTACGCGCACTCCGTATCACTGTGCAATATTTAATTGAAAATAACCATAATAATTTATAATTTTTTTTTGTTTTACTTTACAGTCATTCAATAAAAATAATAATAATACTATTTTAGACAGGACAACATTTTTCTTTTATTCCATATTACACCCATTCCATACCACTGTGCATTTAACATATGCCTCTTATTCCACAACTTTACCTTCCATTGCCTCTAAATGCCCGAAATTGTATAAATCACCATTTCGCTACTGGCTCTTCTACTCGATAAAGGCACTTTTCGTTTCCACATTAGTGCAACATAAACGGAAAAGAAAACTAGCCGAATAAAAACAATAACAATAAACCAAAGGAAATGATTTTTACCCGCAGCGTTGATTTTCATAATGATTGCGCGTTACGCCTGGGGCCAACAAATTATGATAATTACTCACTATACACACACGTTCGCTTGCCGCTTGTCGAATTTCCGCAGCACTGACCCCGCACCAATCACCTTTGCACCTCTTGAACACACCTTAACGCCTCGCCAACAACAAAAACGCCACAACGGACCTGCCTTATTGTTATGCCGGCAATTCGACATGAATAAAATATTTGATCACATGGAAATTCGCAAACAAATATGAATTGAGCCTTCAATGAGGCAAACAAGCGAATTGCATTAATATTGATTGTTATGGTTTAGTGTGGTGTAGTAGGCTGGAGTGTGGTGAGTTCATATACTTGTGTGTGTGCATGTGCGTTGTTTGCGTATTTGCCGAAATAATGCAAATCATTGTTGTTGTTTTATTTTTTATTTGTTATTGTTTTTGTTGTTAATTGCTGTTGTAATTCATTGCTATGAGCGCATAAATTATGCAGACAGTCAGGCAAAAAATCGCATTCATGCTTTTGGGAATTCCAAGGAGATTTATATGCAGTTTAAAACTAAAATA